CCACATTCAAGACTCTGTACGCCAGCAATATTTTTCATGACGTAATAAGCACGCCTAGTGTGCATTAACCAATAAGAACGCAAGTTAATTTAAGACGACTCAAAACTGTTCAGCGGTGATTCGAATGCTCTGGAACTCGAGAATGTTCGGGAATCGTCGGGAATCGCACACCTCAGGAGTTCGGAACAAAGGCCGTTCGTGACGAGTAAGTTACGAAACTCGCCGGAACGGCCGAAGTAGCTTCTCGACTAAGCCGAATCATAGTTAATATATGGCCGAATATATACCTTCTTTGTATTGAACGTGTATTTCGCGAGTACTTGGGAATGAAAAACAAGATTAGATAAATAGTGTTTTTTTAGGCTGTCATTATACTGTGGTTTTATTGCGGTCTTTTAATAAAAATATCTATTTCGAGGGCCGTTTCCGATCGCTAATGATGAGAGTTCATTAACTTTATAGTTCATAAATAGGTCAACATCAGCTATTTTAGAGCTTAATAAGAGGTTGTCATTGTTTTTGAACTCATAATTATTTTCATGAGTTTATTTGTGAATGTATTGTCAAGTACAGTAATCACAATTCATAGTAACCAATATTTCAATTAGAGCTGCCCAAATGGTTATTTGTAAAACCATGTATATTCATAACCGGACTTGGGTCTAGCTGGGTTTGTTTAGTCTTGTAGAGTACAGCCGTTAGTATTATACGATTGTTATCTGAGACCGCATGTTAATGTTATTGTATACTGCATGATATTAATCCTTGGAGAACACTCTCAATTTTTATACACTTTCAAGCATTAAACACTATAAACCACGCAACCCCAGCTTGCAACATAGCTAATGCTATATCTATAATCTATATTCTATATAGTATCTGTTTCCTTAGCATACAATGAAAGATATACTATTAACATAGGTAAACATGATAACAGGTATACTGTAGTCTGTACTAAAGAAAGCTAAGCCTATTAGAGTAAATTCAAAATAAATGCAAAATATCTGCATATATAATGTCAACCTCGAGACTCTCTATATAATACTCTATGCATCAGACAGCCGCTCAGCTCGGGGATACCAGTCTACCTTCCCTGAATAATATGCAAGTAATTTCATTCGGATGTATTGAAGAATCCTTAAGAATATTGTACTTAAAGAACATTGAAGATTTTTTCCCAAATCCTTGCTATGGAAATAGCATGGATCTTCGTTGAAAATAATGTGGAAATCCAATTTTCTTACTAATTGCAATTTCAATACTATGGAAATGGATATACTGACATAGAAATAGTATATGGATTTATTATATAGTAGAGAGTGAGATACTGAAAAATGAGATATTTTCGAGATATTTTCGAAGAGTGAGATATTTTCCACATCTTCACTAGTAAAGATATCGATCACGTGACAATTTGACAATTTGCTTTTGAGCGTAAAATTTCACAATTTTTTGCTTGGGACTATATAATAAACAGAACATTACACGGTGGCTTGAAGATATGACTTTTATCTTCTGGTGTTAAAAACAATATTTTACTCACTCGCTGTGCTCGTTCGTAACTAATATTTAGTTTCACCACTCCAAGATAAAGGTCATATCTTCGCGCCGCCGTGTAATATCCTCCATATATACTATGGACTCAAATTCCATAGCATAGTATGAATTTCACTATTTTTTCCAGTGTATATAAGGTATAAGCAGCTCAGGTCTAGACGCGGAACAACGACAAGGGGATCCCAAGTTCTCGAAAGAGAGTTTCGAAAGAGTTGACAGTCACGCAATAACACAGTGGACATTTCGAGCTCTAGATTAACAAAATAAGGGTTTAATGAGCGTTCCAACTATGTTTTAACTTAAGTACAATCCATGATAGTGTTGGAAAAGCATTAAGAACAGCTAAACAAGGTAGCGTGACTCGTTTGATTCGTGCTTTAAATATGAGTAGGAGTAAAAGTCAAAGAATGCAATCCTGGGCAATAATCTCTAGGCCTAACATTAATCGCCAACAGGTTTTCAATAGTTTTTGAGGATTTTATCATGGTTGAAACCATTCATGGAGCTACTCAAATTATCGTTTACCGTTAAATTCCCCTCGAATTTTCCATCGGCATGTAATATTTCAAAATCCGACTATGAGGATTGGACTAGATTTCAAATCCGCGCAATTTGATCAAGTCCGAGGCGAAGCTGAGGACTGGATCAAAATGCGATGACTTGAAATCTAGTCCGAATTGGAGGATTTGGAAATGAAATGACATCTCGAACGAATAATCACCATTGAAAAGTGAGGTGAATTTTGATCCAGTCCAAGAACTGAATTAAGTTTGTCCAGGTATTCAGTATTATCATATGTGAGCAAAATAAAGCAATATGGTTGGCTAATTTACTTATCTGATTATTGAGTTTGAACCCTGTTTAATCATTCGCCAAGTGATGGTATTTAAAAACTGGCAGTCCCGTGAATTTGGGTTACATGGGAATGAAAATTCACGAGGAACAATCCTAATCGAAAGTATATCACAGCCACGCGGAACAAACTTCTGAGGATTTAAACTTAAAGAGATGTCGGCTCGTGTAAATATTTTCCTAGGCTGGAGGTTTTATGCAATATTTAATGCTTTCGAAACTATACAATTTGTACAGTGCAATCACATGACATTAAACAAGGACAAAAAACCTCTGCAAACCTGTTCCCACGCGCAAGAAGCAAACCATATTTGGCAATGAAGGCCAACGATTCTTGCCTTGACGGCAAAAGTATGCATATGCAAATGTTGAGTAATGCAGAAGACGTTTGATTTTATTTATATTGCAAAGAAGGTGAACTGATATTCCGCATGCCCTAGTAGCATTCCTTCCGGAGCGGCAAAACAGTTTACATACGGCAACTTCTCATGATATAAGGTCATATATAGCATCCATAGGTCATATGATGAATCTGGTCTGATCATGATATCTGCACTGATGGAAATGTCGTCTCGGAAACACAAATCAACGGGCGCGGCGAAATCTTAACATAGTCATAGTTGCAGATTGTTCTACTATATTTTTAGATCATAATTTAGATCACGTATCAAACTTCCTTAAATACATAAATCACAGCGTGAAGATGTACCAACCACTGATCCGTGACTGTGGTCGGCAGCCTATACTTCCTGAGAATTTTCTCAAATTCATGATGATACTGTTTTTACAAGTAATATTATAATAATTTATTCCAAACAAGGTAACAAGAGGTACGAAGGTACAAAGAAATTACAAGATAATCGATAACACCTAATACTACCCTATACAATACAATACACATAAATATATCTATAAATTGTAAGATTGTAGTGGATCAATAGTTGCTAATATGTTATATGGGCTATATGTCATAACAGTATTTGGACGAAATTTTTGAAATATTTCTATCTACAGGGTGTATAAAAAAAAACTGAACCTTTCAAATTCAAATTAGCTATAACGTATTATAGTAATTTGACAGCTCTAATTGCTTTGAATTAATGTTGGATAAGAACACAAGGTTTTGTACTCATGGGACAAAACTCGAAGAAAAAAAAAATTAGAAAATTTAAAAGAAATACAGTATTCCTTGTGTTCTTACCCAACCATTAATTCAATGGCAATAACATCATTAAATAGGTCTTGTAAATTAAATATAACATAAATGTTTATTAATTTTATACAAGCTCTCAATGAAATTATTGCTTAGCCTTAGGGTTACGGACATTGTATTTCTGCATGACATTAGATAATGTTGTTTATTCCTAACAAGTAATACATGTCACCCTTATTTTTTCACAGATATTTTTTTCAGATTAAATAGAGATTACACTAATTTTTAGCACGAACATGACGGGTTCCTATACGAGGCTTTCTATTGCTGCAAACAACTAGTTACAGACATGTAGGATATGCACTAATGGAGACACGGGATCAAAAGCTTTGCCAAATATAATTATTCACGGGAAATAATTGATATTATCGCCATTAAACTTCATTATCTGTTTGCGTGCAAAGAAAGTTATGAGCGCCCACTGAAGGTCAGAGATTCCTTTAATAAAGGTCATATATCTCATATTTGTGCAGTATTTTATTGTAACAGACTAACTGGGCGCTTTCCATTCAAAATAGGTTCGTCGTTCCCAGTAGTAATTGCCAAGATATGAACGAGCTTTAAGAAAATTAGGCCAAAATATCCTCTTCCTTAACTAAAGCTAAATTTTTATCCCTTTCAAAATCAAACGTCACTTGCCGTGAGATGCTATATTGAAGTATGTCATTGCTTTCGCATTTGCCCCCCGGTTGTAAAGCAACCTCGTCAAATGACGCGCATGACGTCACGGCTGTGTCTACTCGCGTAACGGACATGCGCGAATATGGTCGAACACTTTACGATTTGACTTCAAAGCGATTTCTCGACGTTCTATCTGATGTCAAAACTTTGATATAGGCTAGTAAACAGATTCTATCATGACGAAAGCTAAACAGAAGCCTAAGAAACCCGATAAAGGGAAAGAAGAGCCGCCCACAAGCGCTGAAAACAAGGTACAAATCAAAACATGTGTCAGAGAGTGACTCGGCAATTTCATATGAATTTTTTTTAATACTTTTGACCAAACACCGGAACCGCCAACTATATGTTTACTTCCTTTCAAGGTTGTCGACGCCTCGGAGTCCAGTGGAGCTACCAACCCAACAGAAATATTTCACGCACCACAAGTTTCACAGAATTTAAGAAATAACGCCAAACCGTGGTTTCAAACCGAAATTCTAAGCATGATGTGAGTTGAATTTGTCATGAAACTTTGTTGTCGTAGTATAAAATTTATGCCATTTTAGGCAGTGTAGTACAAATTATTAGCATATGGAAATTTCAGTACTTCAAGCAAAGTAAAATAGCAGGTTTTTAATACTGATGGATTAGTTTTTTAGTATTTTTAATCCCCATGTGTTTGATAAATATTTGATTTCTTATAACACTTCCGGTTTGT